ACGCGGGCGGCGGGCGGGCGGCCAGCTCCCCGGACCTGGGGCGGCGGAGCTCCCGGTTTCCCGTGCCTAAACTCTGGTGCTGACCTCTCAGCTTCCCGGTGGTGAAGATAGGGACAGATGGCTCCTAGAACCTGGGCGGCAGGTGGGCGCCCGCTCCTCCGACCTCGGAGTGGCGGGACTCCTGTGTGCTCTTCCTGGACCCAGGTTCTGCTCAGAGTTCCTAAACTCAGGCAGCGGGTGGGCCGCCAGCTTCTCCAGCTCAGGCCCGGGAGGTGTCCGGGGTTTGCGTTCTGAGCGTTGTTCCGATTGCTCAGCGTTGCTGGACCTCAGCGGGCACCGGCTTCTCCAGCCCTCACGTGAAACTCCCAGGATTCCCTTCCCCAATTCTTGAGGCAATGCTCAGCTTCTCTAAACTCAGATAGAGGGCTGGGGGGCGGGGGGGAGTTACCTCCTTGAACCCAGGCGCCTAACTCGATCTCATAAGTCCAAACCTGTGGAAGCTCAGTTTTCTTGAACTCAAGCGGTGGAAACCCAGCCTCTAGTCTCTTCAGTCTCTGCTTCTGATAGGGGAGCCTGGAGGAAGACTCTTTGTGTTGGTCTTCCCTTCTTGAGCTAGCTGGAGATACCTGAAAGCTGTCCCTGCTGGTAGGATCTGGGGTGGGTTAACTGAGATCCCAGCTAGGGAGGCGGGCCTGCCCTCTGGCTTCCCATCCAGCTATCTTGTAAACAACCACAACAGCATCCAAGCTCCAAAGGGACAGACCAGGAGCTGGCTCTCCCTGCAGGACAGGTTCTGACAGTGCTCACATTCGCCCTGGCAGCTGTGTCAGGCAGGCGCGGGCTAGGCCCTGGAAAGAAGCAGGGTTCTCCCGGTGGGGGTGGTGGGGGTGTGTCAGGGACGCTCCTGGGCTGCTGTGACCAGCTGTGACCCCGGCGGTTGATGAAACCTTGGACCTTTCTCTTAAGTTGTTCAGGAGTGAAGAGAATAAGTAGTGTTAAGAGTAAAGCCGATTTTCGGGCGCCTGGGTGGCTCAGATGGTTAAGCGTCTGCCTTCCCACTCAGGTCACGATCCCAGGGTCCTGGGATCGAGTCCCGCATCGGGCTCCCTGCTCAGCGGGGAGCCTGCTTCTCCCTGTGCCTCTCTCTCTCTCTGTCTCTTATGAATAAATAAAATCTTGAAAAAAAAGGAAAAAAGAATAAACCCTATTTTCTGAAGAATTCCCAAGACTTGGAGGCTGAACTGAGGCTTTTATCTGCTTTATCCTGCTTCATTCAGAGAACACCTTTCAGAGTTTCAACCTCAGGGTAGATTTTTTTTTTTTATTAAAGATTTTATTTTATTTATTTGCGAGAGAGAATGAGAGACAGAGAGCACGAGAGGGAGGAGGGTCAGAGGGAGAAGCAGACTCCCCGCTGAGCAGGGAGCCCGATGCGGGACTCGATCCCGGGACTCCAG